CTCTCCTCCCCTCTTTTCTCTTTTTCCTCTTTTCCTCACTTACTACTTTGCATCACTTTGACAACGCAATCATTATTAAGCTAAATAGTTGGTAACTATTTAAAGAAGCCAATTTCCATAACGGAACATTTGCTGCTGATAACGGCCTTTTGTTCACCTGGAATACGACAGTGCGCTCTGTTATTCAGAAAGCATTCAATGAATTTTATTTTTTCATCTGAGAGTCCTAGAGCAGTGTGGCGGCCTACTGGTGAAGACCACTTGAGAAGTTGAGAGTTCAATCCTTGGTAGTGGCAGATTTTTCTCTCCTAGGGCGCAAAGAAAACAAATGTCTGCTGCGAACTCCACATAGGCGTCAGGAAGGGCATCCAGCCAATAAATGCTCAGCTCCCTCCAGTTGCCCTGTCTCTACCCCAAATGAGGGGATTACAGGGTTGTAAAAAGGGAGTTTTACTGTGGCTTCTTTTCTATAGATAGTCCTCAACTTCGGTCACAATTGAGCCAACATTTCTGTTGTTAAGCGAGACATTGGTTAATTGAGTTTTGCCCCCTTTTCCGACCTTTCCTGCCACAGTTGTTAAGTGAATCATCACAGTTGCTAAGTTAGTCACACAGTTGTTAAGTTGAATCTGGTTTCCCCATTGATCTTACTTGTCAAAAGGTCGCAAAAGGCGATCACGTGACCCCGGGATGCTGCAACCGTCATGAATATGAATCATGAAGCTAAAAGCTCACTTGTCCGTTTATGAGCCTGACAATTGTGTTACTAACCACACACACAAAAAAACAACGGTCATTAGCCCGAATTTTTAGACACTGAACCATAAGGAAACTAAACAGGCTGGGTTTATAGCTTAACTCAGGGGTAGGCAACCATGGCTCTTTTATGACTCGTGGACTTCAACTCCCAGAATTCCTGAGCCAGCATGGCCCAGCTTGGAAACCTCTCCCTTTCCCCTCAGCATGGCTGGCTCAGGAATTCTGGGAGTTGAAGACATTACCCTGCCAACAAAAGTACATATAGTCAAGGCCATGGTTTTCCCAGTTGCAATGTATGGCTGTGAAAGTTGGACCATAAGAAAGGCTGAGCACCAAAGAATTGAGGCCTTTGAACTCTGGTGCTGGAGAAGACTTCTGCGAGTCCCCTGGACTGCAAGGCGATCAAACCGGTCAGTCCTAGAGGAGATCAACCCTGACTGCTCTTGAGAAGGCCAGATCCTGAAGCTGAAACTCAAGTACTTTGGCCATCTCATGAGAAGGAAGGACTCACTGGAGAAGGGCCTAATGTTGGGAAAGATTGAGGTCAATAGAAGAAGGGGACGACAGAGAACGAGGTGGCTGGATGGAGTCACTGAAGCAGTAGGCGTGAGCTTAAATGGACTCCAGAAGATGGTAGAGGACAGGAAGGCTTGGAGGAACATTGTCCATTGGGTCGCGATGGATTGGACACGACTTCGCAACTAACAACAACAACAACAAGGTTGCCTACCCTGGCCTAACTAAAGTTAACACTAAGCAATGTCAATGCTGTATGGATGCATCTGCTAGATCTTTACCTTGTCAAATGTACTGTGTGAACAATGGCAAGATGTTTGGTGTTATATACCACAAATGTATATAAAGCAAGTGCTTCTTATCTCTACTCCTATGCACTCCCATCGGTTCCACTACAGTAGCTAATATAGTACAAAAACATATTGCTGTGTCTGACAACAGTCATGTTGGGTTATCAGAAGAAGGAGAAAACGTGTGGTTTGACTCATCAATGTACAACTAACAGGGTGTGTCTGAATGTCTAGAACTGATAACTATTGGTAAGAGGACGACAGAATCGTTAGAATGAACTCTTCGAGTTGAATTCAGATATGGTAATGTGCACGCTGGTATATGTAAGACTACAGGACTTGATTCATCTAATAGGCCAGTGTTTAAGATAAAATCTGTTCTGGTTGAAATCTGGATGGCGTTCAAGGATTTCTCATTTGAAAAATAAAAGGGTAAAAAATAATTTGATTTATCCAGGAAACAAGAGGGAGCATCTGGTTACCACCAAGTGCAGTGAAAACTCTCTCTTAATGTCCAAGTATTCAGTCAGTCTGAGAAACAAGTCAAGTACTCAAATGGATTACCAGGGCAAACTTGATATTTGATGTTTGAAGCAAAGACTGAATAGAAAAGCTTCGATTTTTTTTCCCCATCAGCTGTTTTTAACCTACAGAAACAAGCATTTATGTAATCAATCTGAGGTTTTCGTGATTAAACTGGAGGCAATGTTAAAGTTGTTTGGTTAAAAGTAAATCAGGTAATAGATTTTGTTGTGGCGTGGCCTTTATCCCCTTAAATGCATTGCTCAGATATGAATCAAGCCTTGTTCAAAAATCCATTTCAACCAAAGCTCTATTTTCTAACTGTTACTGGATTCAAGCTTTAATTAAATAGAATTTATTCACATCCCTGTTGCATACACAGATGCAAGACAGATGAAGATTTTAAGTAGGGATCAGGCAATAGGTTATAATAATAATAGTAAAGTTGGAAGGGACCTTGAAGGTCATCTAGTTCAACCCCCTGCTCAGGCAGGAAACCCTATAACATTTCAGACAAATGGCTGTCCAGTCTCTTCTTAAAAACTTCCAGTGTTGGAGCATTCACCGCTTCTGGAGGCAGGTTGTTCCACTGGTTAATTGTTCTCACTGTCAGGAAGTTTCTCCTTAGTTCTAGGTTGCTTCTCTCCTTGATCAGTTTCCATCTGTTGCTTCTCGTCCTGCCTTCAGGCGCTTTGGAAAATAGCTTGACTCCCTCTTCTTTGTGGCAGCCCCTGAGATATTGGGACACTGCTATCATGTCCCCCCTCGTCCTTCGCTTCATTAAACTAGACATGCCCAATTCCAGCAGCCTTTCCTTATATGCTTTAGCCTCCAGTCCCCTAATCATCTTTGTTGCTCTTCTCTGTACTCTTTCTAGAGTCTCAGCATCTTTTTTTACATCGCGGTGACCAAAACTGGATGCAGTATTCCAAGTGTGGCCTTACCAAGGCATTGTAAAGTGGTATTAATACTTCACGTGATCTTGATTCTATCCCTCTAGCCTAGCACTGTGTTGGCCTTTTTGGCAGCTGCAGCACACTGCTGGCTCATATTTAGGTGATTGTCCACTAGGACTCCGAGGTCCCTCTCACAGTTACTACTATTGAGCAAGGTGCCACCTATGCTGTACTTGTGCATTTGGTTTTTCTTGTCTAAATGTAGAACCTTGCTTTTTTCACCATTGAATTTCATTTTGTTAGATAGTGCCCAGTGTTCAAGTCTGTCCAGATCCTTCTGTATTATCTAAAGATTTAGTATATTGCACCTATATAAAGAAGATTAAACTTCTCTTCTTGAAATGTCAGTTTGGAGAAATGTTTCACCAACTTGGATAGATGTCTGTCGTACACCGTCACAAAGAGTTGCATAGCAACCACTTTCCTGATGGTGATTTGTCTTACTCAGTATGAAAGCTACTGAAATGTTGAGTGATTGTAGGACACTTGTTCATTTTATCTGGAGCGAAGATGCCCTTGACCAACATCAAGGATACTGTGTCAATGCACACACAAATGCAGGAAGTCTCATCACTCCATCTTGGTAAAAAAAAATATTCTCAGCTGAATGAAGAACACAAAGGAAATGAATTGAGATCTGCTTCCGAATCTCGGTTTCTTTCATAATTAGAATGACACTGATGGAGTTCATTAGTTGGTTCTTTGCTCATTGTAAAACCGCACATGTTTCTCTATAAGCTGTTCTTTGATTGTCACTCGGTTGGGTTGAAAGGGCAATTAGAAGGGGGAAAAAAACCCACACGTTTCAGAGCAAAAAGGCTTACGAAAATATATGCTTTGCAAAGCTGTTTCCAAAGAGGGCGCATTTTTTTGTTCCTAATTTTGATAAGTTACAAAGGGGAAGTAGGCGTGTGATGGAACCGGTTTATGAATGCGTATCCAAAATCAACACAGGCAGAAGTGTATTTGCTGATCTTTTTCTACTAAAAAGAAAAAATAGTTTCTGAAATTCACTCCAGTACGATGATCAATAATAGTCATTGCTGAAAAGAGAATAGGGGGCCAAATGGAAGACCAGCATACTCTTTGAGGGAGGTGGGCAGTTCCAAATGTAATAAACAAACAAACAAATAAATAACCTTATCTATATTTTTACATGGGACCAAATGGAAGACCAGCATACACTTTGAGGGAGGTGGGTGGTTCCAAAATGGAAGGAATGAATGAATACATAACCTTCTTTGTATTCTTACGTTATCGGCTTGTATTACGACAAAGCTAAACTGAGATTCCATGCATATGTATTGCTTCAATCCTGCCTTTCAACCTCATGAAAAGGTTAACAAAGTGGCTTGCAAAACACACCGGCATAAAACAATAAGAAACTGTCCGATTTCAAACCCATAATAAAACCACTAGACGATAAAGCGATAAATGTAATAGTTAATATTCTGGCCATGCGGCCAGCGTGACTATATGCCAAAGGTGCACAGAACGTTGTTAGCTTCCCACCAAGGTGGTACCTATTGATCTACTCGCATTTGCATGCTTTTGAACTGCCAGGTGAGCAGGAGCTGGAGCAAGGAACGGGAGCTCGCCCCATTGTGCAGCGCTCGGGTCTCCAACCTGGGCTGTTAACTTTCCAGCTGACAAGCTCAACATCTTTTAACTGCTGAGCCCATCACACCCCTATGGACAATATAGAGGTAGTTAAAGGTCAGCGCTGATTTTCTGATAGCAGTGGAATAAGCGAGCAGTGTCCAACACAGGGGAACTAATATAAGCATAAGAGACGAAACTATACATTTCCGCTTCTCTTACAGAGGTTCAAACCAATTCCCAATGAAAAGGATACATAAAGATGTTAAATGGCCATTGGTGCTAAGCTAATCCTTTTCAATAAAAGGAGACGATTAAAACAAATGACCGCTTAGTATTTCCTGAGAAGTGTACTCACCACCGTTTGATGGTTGACCTGGATCACCTCATCTCCCGCATGGATTTTCTTACATTGGTCTGCTGGAGACTAAAGGCAAGAGAAAGGGGAAAACCAGCCATAAGTCCCTTTTTTCCAGCCCTGTGGTAACGTCAGACAGTCACTAAACAAACGGCTGTAAGTCGAGGATTACCTGTGTTCATTCTCTTGAACACAGCCGCCACCTCCTTTATCAAATTTCTCTTATGGGAAAAAAAGTATGTATTTTACGAGATATGTGTGGTCTCTGTATCCACCTTCCCCTCTTCCCCCCTCCCCTTAATGCAGCATTTTGTCTTCTGTAACAAAAACCTTCAAAAGAGAACAGCATTTGTAATACAGGTATTCCTCGCCTTATGCCCTCGACTGAGCCCCACATTCCTGTTGTTAAGCGAGACATTGGTTAAGTGAGTGTTGCCCCCATTTTGCCACCTTTCCTGCCACAGTTGTGAAGGGAATCGCTGCGGTGGTTGAGTAACTCGGTTGTTAAGTGAATCCGGCTTCCCCGTGGACTTTGCCTGGCAGAAGGTGGCAAAATCCCGGGACGCTACAACCGTCATAAATATGAGTCAATTTTGATCAGGTGACCACCGGGATACTGCAACGGTCATAAGTGTGAAAAATGGTCACAGGTCAGATTTTTTTTCAGTGCCATTGTAACTTTGAATGGTCACTAAATGAACTGTTGAAAGTTGAGGACTACCCATATCCACAAAGTATTTTGTTTTCTATAGCAAAAACCTTCTCTCTCCCTCCCTCCCTCCCTCCCTATCTCTCTCTCTCTCATCTATTTATCATCTATCTATCATCATCACCATTATCATCATCTATTATCTCTCTATCTCCCTCTGTCCTCTCTCATCTCTCTCTCTCTGTCTCTATCTATCTGTCTGTCTGTCTGTCTATCTGTCTTCATCATCATCATCTCTCTCTCTCATCTATTTATCATCTATCATCATCACCATTATCATCTATCATCTCTGTCTCTCTGTCTCTCTGTCTATCTCTCTATCTCTCTATCTATCTATCTGCCTGCCTGCCTGCCTGTCTGTCTACCTACATACCTACCTACCTACCTACCCATCTACCTACTCATCTACCTACCCATCTACCCATCTATTTACCCTTCTATCTATCTATCTATCTATCTATCTATCTATCTATCTATCTATCTATCTATCTATCTATCTATCTATCTATCTATCATCTATCTATCTATCTATCATCTATCTATCTACCTACCTACCTACCTACCTACTACCTACCTACTCATCTATCTATCTATCTATCTATCTATCTATCTATCTATCTATCTATCTATCTATCTATCTATCTACCTACCTACCTACCTACCTACCTACCTACCTACCCATCTACCTACCCATCTATCTATCTATCTATCTATCATCTATCTGTCTATCTATCTATCTATCTATCTATCTATCTATCTATCTATCTATCTATCTATCTATCTATCATCTATCTATCTATCTATCTATCTATCTATCTATCTATCTATCTATCTATCTATCTATCTATCTATCTATCTATCTATCTATCTATCTATCCATCCATCTAGGTAAAAAGTACTTGTAATACAATACACCACAATTAATTTTGGCTACAGCCCTCTGTATATTATTTGATCTGGGGACAACGACATAATACATTGCAACTTGAGAAGGGTGTAACCAAAGAGGACATTTGGAGAAATCTACCAAATGTTATTAGGCTGTCAGGAAACCGTCGGCAGTAAAGATGAACACAAACTGACTCTGAACAAAAAGCAACATCTTAGGAACCCAATGCAGAAGCACTTCAAAAGCCACCAACTTTAAAAAAAGAAGAAAGAAAAGAAAAGAATTCTTTGGAAGGGAAATATCATATAGTCCAAACTAACAAAAGAATCCCAACTTGGGGAAGAGTTTTTGTATGTTCACATTTCAATTAAATGCATCCCCTAAAGCATACACAAGAACTAACCGCCGAGGCGCACAATGGATCAGCTGCAAAGGAAAGTTGATTTCTTTCCAGTTTTCTCAACTGCTGAGAAGAGAGGCACAATGCTCGACAACATTGTTCAAAACTGGGCAATTATAGAGACTGCAGAAAATATATAAATTTATCTGAAGTCCAGCAGGCGTAGTTTCTGAGATATTGGTGTGCTTCTCAAGGAAATAGCTTTTAGGGTTCTTTTATGCATTTTAGTTAGACCCATGTGTCTTTCTTATGGTGTAACTTTCAGCTGAGCTCGACTCTGCCTCCTCCAGCCAGCTGCCCTTTGGATGTCTTGGGATCCTACTGAATAGACCCCAGCTAGGATTTGGCTAGCATCCTCATCTATCATCTCTCTATCTTCCTCATATCTCTCACTGTCTCTATCCATCCGTCCATCTGTCCGTCCATCCATCCATCCATCCATCCATCCATCCATCCATCCATCCATCCATCTATCTATCTATCTATCTATCTATCTATCTATCTATCTATCTATCTATCTATCTATCTATCATCTATCTATCATCTATTTATCATCATCATTATTATCATCATCTATCATCTCTCTATATCCCTCCCTCCTTCTCTCTCTCATCTCTCACTCTTGTCTCTATCCATCTGTCCATCCATTCATCCATCCGTCTGTGTATATCTATCTATCTATCTATCTATCTATCTATCTATCTATCTATCTATCTATCTATCTATCTATCAATCATCTATTTATCATCTATCATCATCATTATTATCATCATCTATCATCTCTCTATATCCCTCCCTCCCTCCTTCTCTCTCTCATCTCTCATTCTGTCTCTATCCATCCATCCATCCATCCATCCATCTATCATCTATTTATCATCTATCATCATCATTATTATCATCATCTATCATCTCTCTATATCCCTCCCTCCCTCCTTCTCTCTCTCATCTCTCATCTCTCTCTGTCTCCATCCATCCATCCATCCATCCATCCATCTCTCCATATCTATCTATCTATCTATCTATCTATCTATCTATCTATCTATCTATCTATCTATCTATCTATCTATCTATCTATCTATCTATCTATCTATCTATCTATCCATATCGTCCATATCATCCAAGCACTTTCAGACTTGGAGCATTTGTGAATGCAGTCATGGAGGCATGGAGAACCTCAATGAAACCAGCCTTAAAGCTCTACCTTCCTCCAGCCCTGGCTGCCAATCCACAAAGTCTGCTTTCCATCAGGAAGGCTGCCAAAGGCATCTTCTCTCTTGCTCTTCTGAATAATGTAAACACTCGATTTTGTCTTTGTTTACCCTCCACCTTCTCGCAACCCTGCCCTCCTTCCTATCCTTGTAGAACTGGAGAAACCCATCCACCCACCCACTCATCTTCCGTTCCTTTCTCCCTTAAAGTTTAAAATAGATCTTTCCTTTTAAACAGATTCCACAATTATAAAGGGGAAGAGAAAGGGAGGGAGAGGATGCCCATTTGTGCTGAACATAAAGTGATATAAATATCACAATAAAATTAGCAAGTGTGCTTTATTACTCTACTGGAATAACTGTTACCACACATCCTAGGCGGATTTAGGAGACCTCTGCAGAGATACAATCAGCACACGATCATCTGCCTTCCAGTTCTCTGAGAATCATCAACACAATTATCATCATCATGTTAGTTTCAGCCATTCCCCCCCCCCCGCATCTTCATTTTATTCTGTTTCACTCAAAGAGTTTGCAGTATGTTTCCTAAGGAGCAGATCAGGCTCCTATCCCCAAAGGGAAAGGGGCGGTTATATCAATAATAATAATAAAGGCTACCTCCCTTTTCCATTCTGCCTGGTTAAACTGGGATAATTTTATTCCAGTCTTCCCTAGACCATCTCTCACACGGAAAATGAGCCTCGGGGAAAGAGAGCACGAAAGAACCCTTGAAAGCATTTCACTTTAATAAAAGTCAGGTAAAGAAGATTTTATTTACTCTCCCTCCATCCTTTCTGGATATAAAATATAAGCATCATCTGAGCATTCGTTGGTGTAGTAGCCCTTGATGCAATTTGAGCCAGGCAATTTGAAATCCAGTGGCAGGTCGCACACGCTTTCCTTCTGATTCTGCCAGCCCCAAAGAAAGTCGGGGTGGGAAGCCTCCACCAGAGACTTTACACAATTATTTTAAACCCTCCCTTGAAGGAGAAAAGGAGGAAGATGTCTAATGGGAGCTGATCAATGTGTCTGTTAAAAATAATTTAAATATAAACGTAATATAAAGGCATGCACCTCCCCTTAGCTGCAAAAATGCTTGCCTGCTCTGATGTATTTTTTGCAAAAAAGAAATTTTGCCAGCTGCCACATCTTTCCCCAAGAACAGAATGGGACAACTCACCGTGGGCAACCCGCCACGGCCAGCTTGCTGTGGAACAACTCATCGCAGGACCATTCAACAATTGGATTTAATTCTTTAAAATAATTTTTACAAATATTTTAATTTTGGTACTGCACATTTCATTTTGGCAACGATTCTATTCCACCATTTCTTCAATACTGGTGTGACTCAGTTGTCCCGTGGCGAGTGTCCCTTTGCCCATAGCTGTCGGGCCCAGCCCAGGAACAACACATAACAATCCAGCCAGAGTTCAGTTCTCTTACACACAATAGACGGTACAGGTACTCCTCGACTTACGACCACAACAGAGCCCAAAATTTCTGTTGCTAAGTGAGGCAGGCGTTAAAGTGAGTTTTGCCCCATTTTACAACCTCTCTTGACGCAGTTGTTAAGTGAGTCACTGCAGCTGTTAAGTTACGAACACGGTTGTTAAGTGAATCTGGCGTCCCCGTTGAAGGTCGCAAAAGGGGATTGCGTGACCCCCGGGACATTGCCACCATCATAAATAGGAGTCAGTTGCCAAGTGGCCGAATTTTGATCACGTGACCAAGGGGATGCGGCAACAGTCATAGGTGTGAAAAATGGTCATAAGTCACTTTTCCAGTGCCGCTGTAAGTTCAAACAGTCACTAAATGAACTGTTGTAAGTTGAGGACTTCTTGTATCTTGCCAGACTAAACTTTTATTACTTTTATCCTAATAGATGTAGCCTGGAAGATTCTAGGGAGCAGCTATCCTAACTCTCTTCCTCTGTCTCCAATCCAGCTCTCGGCTGGGCTGCCTCTTGTCTGCCCCTGTCCTTGGGATGTGCTTCCTCTGTTTTGGTCCAGAAGAAGGAAATAAGCACCTAGCCCAGTGGTGGCGAACCTATGGCACGGGTGCCAGAGGCGGCACTCAGAGCCCTCTGTGTGGGCACGCGCGCCGTCGCCCCAGTCCTAGGCCTTCAGCTGGGTTTTATAAAACCTTTTCGCTTTAGGCCTCTGCCGCCATGTGCAAAAAAAAAAAAAAGATTCAATCAGTCAATTTCAACTTCTTGCGGGAAAAAAAAAGATCTTGCAAAGTTGGAATTGATTGATTGAACTTTTTAGTCCCACCCAGTCTGCCGTTACCACCGCAGCCACACCCACCCAATGGGCCATACCCACCCAATTGGCCACACCCACCCAATGGGCCACACCCAGCCAATGGGCCACACCCACCCGGCACTCGACGATGCATACGTGGGTTTTGGGTTACAGTTTGGGCACTCAGTCTCTAAAAGGTTCGCCATCACTGACCTAGATTATGATGGCAGTGATGAAGAGGAAGCAAAAGATTTATAGATGCCACCTAGGGGGAGGGCCAAGCCTTGGAAGGATGTCTGTCTTTTCAAGGCCTCTCTGCTTAATTTTTTTCTCTCTCTCTACAACTCTCCAACCCTAACTCAGTTAAATCTGTAGATTATATGCCAAGTTAAATCATAGAAGTCATGTGCTGAAACAGGACTTTAGAGACCAAACGCCAGGTGTTCAGATCTCCAAACAGCTGGAGACTTCAAGAAACAGAATGAATTATGTATCACGATGGTGAAGTCTATGCAAGAACGAACAATCTCTATTCTATTTAAAGGACAAGATTGGGGGCTATACGTTTCACCCAGTTACTAAAAATGCATCTGCTGTGTTTTTCCTCCCCCGGTAAACTCTCATGCTTTCTTATAATGTGTTTTAAAATAAAACACTCTGAACTGAAACACTTAACCATATCCAACATGACAGGCATCTAGAGACATAAAATTCAGTGCACTGTCAGAGTAACTTCAACTCGGTAGGGAGAAAAGAAAAGATCAGAGGATAAAAGCCATTTGCCAGATAGCTGAAGGTGAAAAGCTATCAGTGGAATATACAAAAACCCATCCATAATAAATCTTAAGAAAGTTCGGAGCCTAGGTCAATTATAAACCCCACAATTTCCTTCTCGTCTTACCTTATCTTTTCTTAAAACAACTAGAATGCAGGCAATCCTTGACTTATGACCACAATTGACCCCAAAATTTCTTTTGCTAAGCAAGACAGATGTTAAGTGAATTTTGCCCTGTTTTTACAGCCTTCCTTGCCACAGTTGTTAAGTAATGATTTACTTAGTTGTTAAGTTAGTAACATGGTTGTTAAGTGAATCTGGCTCCCCCATTGACTTTGCTTGTCAGAAGGTTGCAAAAGGCGATCACATGACCCCGGGACACGGCAACCGTCATAAATACGTGTCAGTTGCCAAGCGTCTGAATTTGGATCACGTGACCACAGGGAGGCTGCAATGGTCGTCAGTGTGAAAAATGGACATAAGTCGCTATTTTCAGCAGTGCTGTAACTTTGAATGATCACTAAGGAAACTGTTATAAGTCAAGGACTGCCTGTATATATGTGCATGTATCCATGTACGTATGTGCACATATATACGGATGTAAACATGCATGGAAATAAGGACAACAAGCCTGACAAAAATAAAGAAACATACATTTTCTGTTGTCCCAGTGATCACATGTAGTCCATCATAGGTTGATTTAATGTACATTCCCTAAAAAAGAATGAGATGAGAAACCATTAATACAAACATAACACATGAGTTAGTGGTTCCTGCAACAAAGACTGGCATGTGGAGTGCTCCTGTTAAGGATCCTAGCCAGCCAACTAGCCAAACCCTTTTCTAAAATATGAACATAGAACATGGAATAACAGAGTTGGAAGGGTCCTTGGAGGTCATCTACTCCAACCCTCTGCTTGAGCAGGAGAGTCTATACTATTTCAGATAAATTGCTCTCCAGTCTCTTCTTGAAAGCCTCCAGAGATGGGGCACCCACAGCTTCTGAAGGCAAGCCATTCGACTGGTTAAATATCCTCACCATTAGGAAATTTCTCCTAACAGTGAGAAAAAAAATCCATTGTTCTCCGAACACCTTATTTTATACTGTCTTGCCAATTTCCCCCACCATTTCCAAATTTCCCTTTAGCATTCTGTGGCCATCAAGCATTTTTACTAAGTCAGGTAAACCCTGTAAGGTTTAGAAACAAGTCAGATATGAGTTTTCCCAACCTAACAATATTTTCTGCAGTACAATGGAGACCAAACATGATTACCTGCAAGCTATTGTATCGAAATAGGAATGGTTAATACTGAGACAGGTAGATCTCCGACAGAGAAGGCGAATCAGAGTCAGCCTGGACTCCACCAGAGAGCTGGATGAAGTTCTGCCTTTATTCCCCCTTCTTGATCTTCAAACAGAAAACTTAGGGATTAATGTTGACCACAGAATTGAGTGTGAAACGCAAAGCATTTGGGCAGAGAGGGAGAAAGAAGAACTTCAAACTCTGAAGATTAAACAACAAACAATACTTTTTATCACCAGAACCTATTTCTGTCATCTTTGCACCCCATATAGAGCACTAACTCATTAAAAAAAGAGAGAGAGAGAGAGAGAGAGACCCGTTGAAGATTTAGATGCTATTTTTATTCAGCATCCTTGAATATGTGCTTGGGTGCACTTCTCTGCGTTGAAAACAAGGAACTTTTCAGCTCCGTTCTTTTTCTATGAAAAACACAGCCCTTTGAAGCTTCTCTTTACAAGGAGAACAACAGGTAGGGGTATAAAAGACTGTTCAGGAGCTGCTGAATGACTATGATGAGTGGCTCTTAAGCATGATATTGGTGTGCTTCATCCAGGTTTAGAATCATCAAGTCCCAAGAAGTTTGCTAGCGACAACAAGAGAGAACCTGCCTTTCTTTTTTCTAGCTTCTTTAGATCTTCCAACCCCAGAGGTGGAAAAGAAACAAGGATGAACACTGTAGGCTATGAATTTGCAGGATTGATGGTTCTAAACCAAATGTTTTGGAGGCATGCTTGACCCAAGGGATCAACCACACCATCAAGAAAGTGTTAAGACAGCCACTTGTCTGAAATGGTGTAGGGTCTCCTGCTTGAGCAGGGGGTTGAACTAGAAGACCTCCAATGTTCCTCCCAACTCTCTTATTCTATTCCAAGGGGTCTCCAAACTTGGCAAGTTGAAGACTTGTGGACTTCAACTCCCCAAATTCCTGCTGGCTGTGGAATTTTGGGAGTCTTAAAGTTGTCAAGTTTGGAGAATTCTGTTCCGTTCCGTTCTATTCTATGTGCAGAATATCTATCTGCGCATGGTTGGCCCCAGGTTGTCCTGCATCCTGAGCAAAGGGATATGGGCCAGCTGGCTGGAGTAGTAATTTGAGACCTTTGGTACCAAGCCCAGTCCAATGTGGTGGGATTTTGGCATATCGCAGATGTGAGCTTCAACCATCGATTTATGGAAGTTATACTTCAAATGAAAGCTGTCTTGTTACAGATTTGTAAAAATTGTGGAGGTTGGAGAAAAAACTTTATGCATGCAGTATTAGATTTGGTGGAGAACTGACTAGTCCCAGCCCTTTGGAAGGAGGAGATGGGACAGAAGGCGACACATAAATGATCTGTTGGCTCCCTTGCACAGAGCGTGGAGGGCACATTTCAACTCATAACATCTGGCGAGATGCACTTTTGATGGACCGAAAACTTGGAAGCAGTTTTCCCAAGGTTGTAACGCAGTTTTTGCAACCTTCCTCTGGCCTTTGTCCAAATCTTATTTGTCTTCCCTCTTGTATCCAGAAACACCACATGTGCATGAATCTCCTTGAACATTTGTGGACTTCACGTTAAGGGCGATCCTCCAAGGGCTAGTTTATCCTTCATCGTAAGAAGCTGCTGACACTAAAGGAAATCTATAGCTTCCCGTGTCATGAAGACACCGCTTGAGGGACCATTCCGTATTATGTTCCATCAGACAGGCAGACCAAACTATACAAATTACCCGTACGGGATATTTTTTTTCCTCGGCTGCCATCTGTTATGGGGTAGTAGAGGAAAAAGCTGCCACAGGCAGTTCCTGATCACACCAGGAGGTTTCTCATTTATTGTTAGCGAAGCATCCATCTGTATGACAACACGGGTGGATATGAAAAAATGGAAGGGAATATCATAGCAAGTGCGAGGGGGGGTTTATCTGGGCAGTCCTATGAATCTCAGGGGCTGCCACAAAGAAGGAGTCAAGCTATTCTCCAAGGCGCCTGAAGGCAGGACAAGAAGCAACGGGTGGAAACTCATCAAGGAGAGAAGCAACCTGGAACTAAGGAGAAACTTCCTGACAGTTAGAACAATTAACCAGTGGAACAACCTGCCTCCAGAAGCGGTGAATGCTCCAACACTGGAAGTTTTTAAGAAGAGACTGGACAGCCATTTGTCCGAAATGGTATAGGGTTTCCTGCCTGAGCAG